GTGACATGCACTCGGGATAGGGGCCCTATATATAATTACTTATACATTATTATTATACGTATACCAATTTATTTATATATAATTGTGGGTAATATATTAGAAGGGAAGGGTCACCTACACCCTAATGGCATTTCTACTAATCTTCCATGATTTGACTACGCATTATGCTCGCTTCCCATTTGTATTCCAGATCTTCTGTTCAGAATGGGGCCTCCTCTTTACCACCTATCAGATTTGGCCCTTCCCTCCTACCAAGGAGACCGCTGGTAACATTCACATTTTTACATGGAATTTTTCGAAATAAAGGGGGCGGTATAGGATTCGAACCCCCGATATCACTGCTAAGACCCTCCGACTCGCCCACTCGAGTCGCTTAGCCCTTCTTAAATTGGTGATGAAGGTGCATCAGGCTTAGGTTCTGCTTTAGCAAATTGCATTAATCTCTCAAATTTGACACTTGACCTTGAGTAAAAACAGTTTATTAGTTTTGGATTGTGATATTTTAAACTATAAAAATGAATATAAAAAAAAAAGCTCTTTAAATATATTTGATAGCTTTATTTATTTTATTTTTTTATCTTTTTTGTTCCTCTCAAATTATTTTATTTGTTAATTTAAAGAATAATTTTTAATTTAAAAGTTTATTTTATTTTGATATTTATTTTAAAATTTACACAAATTTATTATAAATTTTTTAGCTCAATGAATGAATCATAAGAACTCAAGGTAAAAAGCAAGTGTCTTAAATCAAAAAGATTAGTTGTCTTTAATATTTATTTCTAATGATAAACAATTGGTGAAAAAAAGATGAATAAATATAAAATGTTTGAATATTATTAAATATTTAATTATATAATATTTTGAAAAAGTGTTTTTAACCTAAAATATAAATAGATAGATAGATTTTATTATTGATTTTATATTATTAAATATCATTCATATTTTTGTAAGTAAATAAATTATTTATAAAAAATAAAATAATTAAATTTACTTAAATAAATTAAATCCTCATAAGCAAACTCTCTGGTTTATCCAAAAATGATCAAATAATTTCAAACTTTTAGTTTTATATTAAATCTTATTAAATTATATAAATACCAAACTTTTATATGCCAGTTACATTTTAATCTTAAATATTATCCATGAATCATATTTCTATCCTTTTTTTATTTATCATGATTAATTGGATGCCATGATTTAAATAAAACCTTAGGGATAAATAAAGTTTTACTTTTTATTTTAACTTTAATGGTTTTAACGTTTTTTTTTTTTCTCAAACTTTTAATTTATCTTATGATCATTTTTTTCATTTTATATTTTTTAAAATCATAAAATAATTGTTTTTTTAAATTATCATTTATTCATTCAGACAATACAAATTTGATTTTTTTATTTAAGAATATTTAGAGTAAATTAATAAATTTAAAAGTCTTTAATGCTGAATTTGGTTTTTTATAAGCTTATTTCATATCAAGAATTTATGTAATTTTTTTTTAATGTGGTATAATAAATTTTAAAATGCTTATCTTATTTTTTATTATAAAATGTTCTATAAATATTCTTGAAAAATGCAAATCTGAGGTTTGGAGTATCTCAATACAAATATTTACTTTTTTTAAATTTAATTTTAATATAAATTTTCAATATATTTTTAAAATAATATTTTTTAAACAAATAATTATGTCTTTTATCAAATATTTAAACAAACAACTATCACTTTTACATATAAACCTTGTTTATTTATTTTATAAGAAAGACTTTTTAAATATTTTTAAATTTTAAAGTTATCTAATTTTTTCAATATCTTAAAAACTATTTTCTTTCGCATGTTAGTGTTAGTGTTTATTTGAAGATTAAATGGTTGCTTTTAATTTTTAGCAACTACTTACAAATAAATAAATATCTATCTATTTATTTGATTATTAGAAAAATTGAATATTTCATTTGTTATTAGACTATAGATATTCAAATTTCCACCAAATCTTAATTAAATCAAGTAATTTAGTCTTATTTGAAAACTCTTATAAAATTGAATCTTTTTTTTCAAAGTTGAGAAAATCAATTACTTGGTATTGTTATTCAGTTACTAAAACTGTTAAATATCCATAATTTTTCCTCTTTTCATCATTTATAATTATATAAAAGCTTTTATCATCTTTTGGATTATAGAAAAGGTCTAAATTAATATTTTGTTTTACTTGAGTGAACCTTTTTATATCATTTTTAATTTAATCTTTGTACTAATCATTAAAATTTCCTTTCTCAAATGCAGAATTCATGATCTTAAAATCAGAGTCATTATCATCTTTTATGAGTTATTATTAGACGCAAGAATCTTTATTTTCATATTTAGAATCAACTGAGAATTTCTATTAATTAATACTAATGCTAGTAGGCTTTTAAGGAGAAATTTGCTTTGTTTTCTCATAATTAAATTAATTTATATTTTTTTAATCATACTCAAATTTCCACCAAAGCCTGATTAAATCAAATAACTTATTTCCATTATCTACTGGTTGGAGTGTTTAATTGGCTTTTTCTTTTTACACTAAATCAACAGCTTTGTATCTTTTTTATAAATAAAAATATCACAATCAAAAACAAATAAACTGTTTTTACCCAAGATCAAGTGTCAAATTTAAAAGATTAGTGCAATTTGCTAAGCAAGAGCTTAAATATGATGCACCTTTTGCACTAATTTAATTTTATCTTTTTAAATATTGAAAAAAAAATATAAAATTAATTAATAATTTAGAAGGTAAAAATGAAGAAAAAATAATAAATAATAAGAAATAAACTAATTTATAAATAAATAATAAAAGCAAATGTTGAAAGTAGAAAAATAAATGAGTTAAATAAGAAAGATTGTAGAAAAAACAACACAATTAAAATAAAAAAGTAAATCAAATAAAAAGTTAATAAACAAGTAAAAAGAGCAAAATTGTTACAAATTCATTTTTATAAATAAAAATATCACAATCCAAAACAAATAAATAAATAAATAAATAAATAAATAAATAAATAAATAAATAAATAAATAAACTGTTTTTACCTAAGATCAAGTATCAAATCTGAGAGATTAGTGCAGTTTGCTAATCCAGAACCTAAGTCTAATGCACCTTTTTCACAAATTTAATTACTACTTTTTATATTTTGAAGAAATAAAATAAAAAAATAAGAAATGAATAAATAATTAATAAAAACAAATAATGAAAATAAAAAATGAGTTAAATTAAGAAAGATTGTAGAAAAAACAATTCAATTACAGTAAAAAAGAAAAAAAAAACATAAACCTAATAAAAAGTTAATAAAAAAATTGAAAGAAAGAGCTATATTATTTTAAATTCATTTTTTTAATAAAAATATCACAATCCAATACAAATGAATAAATAAACTGTTTTTACCGAAGATCAAGTGTCAAATTTGAGAGATTAGTGCAATTTGCTAAACAAGAGCCTAAGTCTGATGCACCTTAATCATTAATTTAATTCTCACTTTTTAAATATTGAAGAAAAAATATATTGCTAATTAGTTTTTTAGAAGGAAAAAATGAAGATAAAATATGAAGTAATAAGAAATAAATAACAAAAGCAAAAGTTGAAAATAAAAAAATGAGTTAAAATAAAGAAAAATAATAGAAAAAGCAACTCAATTACAATAAAAAATAAAAAGAAAAGTAAATCAAATAAAAAGCTAATAAACAAGCTAAAAGAGTTATCTTATTTTAAATTCATTTTTAGCTAAAAATATCACAATCCAAAACAAATAAATAAGTAAATAAACTGTTTTTACTGAAGATCAAGTGTCAAATTTGAGAGATTAGTGCAATTTGCTAAACCAATAACTAAGTCTGATACACCTTTTGCACCAATTTAATTCTTACTTTTTATATATTAAAAAAAAATGAAATAATAAAAAATAATAACAAATTTTGAAAATAAAAATGAGTTATATTAAGAAATATTGTAGAAAAGATAACATGATTACAATAAAAAAGAAAAAAAAAAGTAAATTAAATAAAAAGCTAATAAACAAGTTGAAAGAAAGAGCTGTTTTATTTTAAATTAATATTTATAAATAAAACTATCACAATTTAAAACAAATAAATAAACTGTTTTTACCAAAGATCAAGAGTCAAATTTTAGAGATTATTGCAAATATTTAAACAAGCACCTAAATCTGATACATCTTCATCACCAATTTAACTGGATCTTTTTAAATATTGAATAAAAATATAAAATTAATTAGTTATTTTAAAGGAAGAAATGAAGAAAATAAGAAATGAATGAATTAATAAATTTAAAATAAAAGCAAATGTTGAAAATTAAAAAATGAATGATTTAAATTATGAAAGATCGAAGAAAAAAAAAGCACAAGGATAATAAAAAAGAGAAAAAAGTATTGAAATAAAAAGCTAATCTAAAAGTTAAAAGAGCTTTATTGTTTAAAATTCGTTTTTTTAGTTTGAAATGAACTGAAAGTGAAATATATAGAAAATATTTTTTATAATGATAATTTTTATTATATATTAAATATACCTCAGATCAATATGGAGAATCTAATGAGATAAAAGTGAAGATTTAAATAACTTTTAATATTAGCAAAAATAAATTTAAAGTATATTGATATAAAAATAAATAATTACTTCTTCTAATCTGTTGTAATATTTAATCTATTATATCATTTATTTTTTTCCTAAAATATTGAATAGCAATTTATGTAAATTTAATTAATTAATTAATTAATTTTAAGCGGATAAAAAAAACAAATAAATTATATGAATTTGTAAATTAATTTGCTCTACTAAGAGAAATCACAATAAACTTAGTCTAATATTTATTATTAAATCTAAATATTTTTATTTAAAATGAATATAGCTTAATGCCATTCAAAAATTTATGAATTAAGATCACTATTTTTTTGAATGGTTGTGTCTACCCTATTTGACAAAATTTAGCTCAATTTATAAATTTTGATGTAAAAAATATATATATAAATCAGATTTTTTAATAAATAAATAAAAAATCTATTTGATAATAAGTGGCATGCAAACCATGAAATTTTTGTAAGGTATGTTGATTTTACTAGAGATATTATAAGTATTCCTAAATTTACAGAGCTAAAACAGAAAAATCTATTTATAAACATTATTTTTATAATATTTAAGAACATTAACTACTAGGTTTTTTCAAATATGACTGGCCATCTCTAACTCCTACTATATTTATTTTTAAGAAAATGTTATAAATACAAATATTAAGTTTAATTAGTGAATGTTAAATTAATTTTTATGTGATATCTCTTCATAAAACCAAATATATAAATTAATAATTGATAATTAATTAATTATTATATTTATTTGTTCTTTTTATCCATTTACAATTAAATAAATTGCTATTCAATATTTTTGAAAAAAAAAATAAATGATATAATAGATTAAAAAATATTACAAATTAGAAGATGTAATTATTAATTTTTTTATTAATATCCTTTAAATTTATATAAATTAATAAAAAAAGTTTAAAAGCTCTTCACTTTTATCTCATTAGGTTCTCCATATTAATCTTGAGTAAATTTAATTAAAAATATTATTTTTATTATTATTAATATTTTTTGTATATTTAATTTTCAATTTATTTAAATAAATAATTTTTGAAAAAAAATTATCATCATAATTTATTGATTTTTGTTAAAACTAAAATTTTTTAGCTATCTTAACTTAAATTTCATTTCAATTTTTTATTAATTATTTATTATTCATTTTTTATTATTTGATATTTTTTCTTCTTTTTTTGTTATTAAAACTTACACTTAATAAAAGCTATTTATTAGTTTTACATCGTAATATTTTTAATTATAAAAATTAATTTAAAACATTATAGTTCTTTTAATTTATTTGATTTCTTTTCCTTTTTCTTTTTATTATGATTTCTTATTTTTTCATTCTTTGTTAATTTTATTAATTTTTTATTAATCTTATTATTTCATATTTTTTCCTCCTAATTAACTAGAATGGAATACCTATTTAATTTATATCTAAGTAAAATTATAAATAAAGCTAATTTTTTGAAAGCATAACATATCTTTTTTGAAAAAAATATAAAAAATATTTAAAATCTTAATTTTATAAAACGTAAAAACTGGTTATAAAACTCGCTTTTTGCAAATTTGTATGGTAACTTACTCTATTTAATGATACATTTTTTGTTCAATATTTAAAAAGTTATAATTAAATTGGTGATGAAGGTATATCAAGCTTAGGTTCTGCTTTAACAAATTGCATTAATCTCTCAAATTTGACACTTAACCTTTAGTAAAAACAGTTTATTTGTTTTTGATTGTGATATTTTTAATTATAAAAACAATAAAACTCTTTTTTCTTTTTATTTTTATTGTGATTGCTTTTTTTTTTGTTCTTTCTTTGTTAATTTAGCTCATCATTTTATTTTCAACTTTTGCTTTTATTATTTATTTCTTATTATTTCATATTTTTTCTTCATTTTTTTCTTTAATTAACTATTTAATGATATATTTTTTCTTAAATATTTAAAAAGTAGGAATTAAATTGGTGCCATTGGTGCATCAGGCTTAGGTTCTGCTTTAGCAAATTGCATTAATCTCTCAAATTTGACACTTTACCTTGAGTAAAAATAATTTATTTGTTTTGGATTGTGATATTTTAAATTATAAAAACTAATTAAAAACAATAAAGCTCTTTTTTCTTTTTCTTTTTATTGTGCTTGCTTTTTTTTGTTCTTTCTTTGTTAATTTAGCTCATCATTTTATTTTCAACTTTTGCTTTTATTATTTATTTCTTATTATTTCATATTTTTTCTTCATTTTTTTCTTTAATTAACTATTTAATGATATATTTTTTCTTCAATATTTAAAAAGTAGCAATTAAATTGGTGGTGAAGGTGCATCAGGCTTAGGTTCTGCTTTAGCAAATTGCATTAATCTCTCAAATTTGACACTTGACCTTAAGTAAAAATAATATATTTGTTTTGGATTGTGATATTTTAAATTATAAAAACTAATTAAAAACAATAAAGCTCTTTTTTCTTTTTCTTTTTATTGTGCTTGCTTGTTTTTTGTTCTTTCTTTGTTAATTTAGCTCATCATTTTATTTTTAACTTTTGCTTTTATTATTTATTTCTTATTATTTCATATTTTTTCTTCATTTTTCTTTAATTTACTATTTAATGATATATTTTTTCTTCAATATTTAAAAAGTGGCAATTAAATTGGTGATGAAGGTGCATCAGGCTTAGGTTCTGCTTTAGAAAATTGCATTAATCTCTCAAATTTGACACTTGACCTTGGGTAAAAACAGTTTATTTATTTTGGATTGTGATATTTTAAATTATAAAAACTAGTTAAAAACAATAAAGCTCTTTTTTATTTTTCTTTTTATTGTGCTTGCTTTTTTTTTGTTCTTTATTTGTTAATTTATCTCATCATTTTATTTTCAACTTTTGCTTTTATTATTTATTTCTTATTATTTCATATTTTTTCTTCATTTTTCTTTAATTTACTATTTAATGATATATTTTTTCTTCAATATTTAAAAAGTAGCAATTAAATTGGTGGTGAAGGTGCATCAGGCTTAGGTTATGCTTTAGCAAATTGCATTAATCTCTCAA